AAACTTATTCCAAATCTCAACACTTGAGCTTGACGAGCTGTTCCACTAACGTAAATTGGAGGGCGTAATTTTGCAATTACATCTTCATCGAGAAAATTAAAGCTTGTAGTTGCATTATTGAAGAACTTATCGGTGTTTTTATACTGACGTAAATATTTTAGTTCGTTTTCGTCGTCACAACGTATTATTTCAGCTAAATAATAACGGAACCTTTTTTCCCCTGAACTTTGATCAATACAAAGTCGCCAGCTTTTAAATCAGCATTTCCAAACTTGTTCTGCACCAGTGTTGATTCTTCCTCTCTTTGAATATGCTCCTTCCAATTTTCTTCGTCACTGCTAAGGGATAAGTTTTCATTTTCGGATTCTGAACTTGATGATAATTCTTTCTTGGTGTCCTTAGAACTAAAAGTTTTTCTTCTTTTGATAAACTCTTTTGCGTAGAATCTTAAAAACTTGCCTTTTAGTATTTTTAAGAGTAGTTGGTTTTACTTTTTAACTGTGATATTTCATATTTTTTGGGAGTGTCTGTCAATATGTGAGATTTCCCTTCCTCCACTGACCTTTTTTCGGGGAGGTGCTTTAGGAAATGGACGTAGCATTTCTGGAATAACAGCAACATATGTCGAAGGAGAATTAATTTTGTTTCGGTTATTTAGAATACTACAATAGTTTTCGGTCTGATTAGCTAAAGCAACACTTGAGCAGGCTACAACATCACATGAACCATTTGAAGTTTTAGATTGAACATCACATTAACACCATTGTTGTTGTTTTCTAGTGGACGATCCAAAACATAAGAGGTGAGAAATTCGTGTTCTTGGAATATGTCTTCATTAAGGGCATAAAGCCCCGATACTTCAAATCCTTTAAGAATATTCGCAACGTCGTAGATATTTATAGGCTGTTTTCAATGGCCCAAAGATAGTCCTATCTAGCGAAGTTTGTGGCTTATGTAAGGATGGAAAGTAACCAATGTTATGCCATTATTTTGACAAAACTGAAACACTGGTATATTAACGTGACTATCATGGTTATCAAGAAGTAAAATAACTGGGTCTTCAATAGATGGTTGTACATGACATTCAAAATGCTCCAGGAACTGCAAAAAAAGTGACTCATTAGACCAGCCAGATGAATTGACCCCTCCAATTGTGCCTACAAGAGCTCCTTTCAACATATGGGATTTGAAGTGTACTCTAGTAAACACCATCATAGATGGAATATGAGTACCAGAGTACTACCACAATTACAGTAATATTCTGTCCTCTTTCTCCACTTGTCATCTGTCCAATATGCCTTTTGGACCAATTATTGTAAGAGGGATATGGACGGTTGTAAAGCCAGATTCATCACAGTTCCAAATTTTGTGTGGCGAAAATTCAGTTCGAGACAGAGCTTTCTTGTAATTTGAAAAAATGAGCTGACATTGGCTTTATTAAACGAGGTGGATCTTGCTAGGCTTGTAGGCTCCGGTTTTCGAAGTGATAATTCTACTGTGTAACGCCTTCGGAAATATCTTAGCCACCCTTTACGGGTTTATTATTTTGCTCTCATGACGATGGAAACTTTTTATCATTTGCAAGACCGAATTGGTAAGCAAAACAACGAACCTCCATTCTTGTCAAGCCATAGTGAAGGCGCGCTGCTGTTATTAAATAATCTTTCAAACTATTTTCTTCTTCAATTGAAAAAACTTACTGAGTTTTATTACTGAGGATACAGTAATTTTACGCATACCAAATGAAAGCTTAAGAGTTAAAGTATCAATATACACCAAAAAAGTGAAAAAATAATTTTTTACAATGCAGAACCTTTTGTAAATTTACGGTTATTTTTTATAAACATTTAGAACAACTTTTAAACTATTTCTCAAAGATAATACCTTTTTTTATATTCGAAAAGCTGACATTTTTAAACGAATTCAAAGTTAGTTTTTTTTTTTTAATTCAGAGCAGCCAATTTGTTTATAACAATTAAGGAACGCAATTTTCGGCATTTGATAGAAAAGGATTCGTAGTTCTGTACAAAAAGTTGTACAAACATTGCACTATAACAGGATCCTCTGTGAATTGTCAAAAATATGGTTCATCAGGGTTACCAGACCTAGGGAATTTTCCCTATAACTAGGGAATTTTCAGCCAGCTTAGGGAAAAAGGGATTTTTATTCAATTCTATGAAAAATCTAGGGAATTCTTAATATTTGTAAGAATATTTTAAAAAATCAGTTTTATTTAATAAACTTTCCAAAATTGCACATATTATATTATCTACTTGGAAATCATACTATTCGTGGAATCACTAAATTCTGTTTATGTGATTTCCCGTCGGAAACTAGAGTGGTGAAATTTCACAAAGGGCGAATTACGTCAGGGATCCACCTGGACTAAAATATCTTAATACTTTGATATTCTTATCCTTCTTACCATAAATACAACTATAAAACACTTGTGCAGAAGGGACAAAAATAATTATATTAAAAACATATATGTACAACTAGAGGAACATGCTGACCGCCAAGAACCTAGAGAACTTTTCTCAAAAATCAAGTATCTAGCGAGAGAATTCAAACCGCAAAGATCATCAAAGATAATAGTGGAAATATCATAAAAAAACCCAGACGGCCTCGCAGAGATGTGAAACAATATTGCGAGATACTATTTCTAACAACGACCGAGACAATAATACAGAGAAAATAAGTTATGAAAAAGAACCTCAAATATTGAAATCAGAAATTGAGGTGCAATTAAAAAGCTAAAATCCCGAAAAGCAGAAGGAGAAGATGGAATAACAGCTGAAACACTAAAAGAAATGGTAGAATTAGGACGGAAGTAATGCTTAGAATTTGCAATGAGATTTGGAATACCGAAAAGTAGACAAATGACTGGGTAAACTTGCGTTTATTCCCATATATAAAAAAAGTTTACCGACAGCTGATTGCAGTAATTACCGCACAGTAGCATTGATATCACACGCGAGCAAAGAACTTCTAACCATCATTAATGAAAGACTAAAATTAATTCCCTTACCACAAATTCCCCAAGTACAATGCGGATTCGTCCCAGGTAGAGAAACAAGAGAACATATTCGTCAAATTATCGAAAAATCTCGAGATTGCTTTGTTGACTATTCCAAAGCCTCGATACCGTAAAATGTAATAAAATGTGGCATACACTTAGTGAAATGAGTACTGCAGAACATCTTATCTATTTATTACAAAAACTATAGGTAAATAATACTGCTAATGTAAGAGTTAATAATGTGATTTCGAAAAACATCAAATTAAATCTGGAGTTCGACAGGGATGCATAATATGATTCTATTCAATGTGTATAGTGAACATATGCGTCAAGTTGTTGAGGAAAGTGAGAAGGTAAGGTGAAGAACGATAGGAGGAAGAAAAATTAAAAACCTGCGTTATGCTGATGACACTGTTATCGTCATCACCAAAGAACTGGAACAAATTATGAATAGGCTAGGCACGTGAGTACGGAATATAGTTTGAAAATAAATATGCAGAAAAGCAAAGTGATGATCATCGATAGAATCAGAAACAACCAAGCAAAGATAAAAAACATGGCAGGTTACGAAGTAGTCAGGCAATTTAATTACTTAGGCTTATTTATTACTAACAGTGGAGAATGCGAAGACGAGATCCGTCGACGCATCACAATGGCCAGATCGGCAACAGCTAAACTCACAAAAATTTGGAAGAACACTGGCATCACAAAAAATACAAAATTACGCCTTGTTCGAGCATTGATATTTCCTATCGCCACCTATGCTTTAAAAACTTATTACAACAATAACAAAATAACGACATAATATTACGACAATAACAAAAGCCGATTCAAAGCGTATAATGGCCTTTGAAATGTGGGTCTACCGTAGAATGTTGCGCATACCATGGACCGCTTATCGCACAAATAACTCAATTCTAGCAGAACTTAACATAAAATTAGACTCATCACAACTATCAACCCAAATATACTGAATATTTTGGACATATAACTAGAAGAAGAGAAGGACAATAGAGCAAATGATAGTTGAAGGTAACGTAGGGGGTAAAAGATCCAGAGGAAGATCTCCAGTACGATGGTCGGACCAAATAAAAGAGATGACTGGTTATTCATTCTCCTAAGCAAAACAACACGCACAGGAAAGAGATAATTGGACAAAAATATTTAATAAAATTACATGACGCTACTATATCCTTACGAAGGAGAAAATATTGAGGAGGATTCTTACCTCACAAATATCACGAACAACAAATAATACCAATCGCACAGAATGAATGTTCATAACCAAAAGTCGTTATTTATTCTACAAACAATTAAAATACCAATATTTCCAACTTCTTATGTCACCAATAAACTCAAATTAGAAATGTTTGGAAAGGTTTTTAAAAATCCCGCTCATTTCTGACGTCAGACTTAGGTGGTCCATTCTAGGCTAAATATGGTTGTCAAGTTATTAGGGAAATCTAGGGAAATTTTGCAAAAATTCTAGGAATTAAAAAAAAATCATCTGGCAACCCTGTGGTTCATATTAAGACTAATAGTGCCGAGTGGAGGGGAAACCAAAAATCTAAGCGTTCATAAAATGAAAACGCATTTTCAAACTACTACAATAATTGTTTTTATCTCCGGATCTACTCAAAGGATTTTAATCTTTCTTGTTTTAATTACATCTTTGCGTACATTTACATTTAATTATCTCTTTGCTACATTACAAATATGTAATTTGTTTATAAATTATTTAACTAATAAATAGTGTAATTTGTTTAAACAATTTATGAAAAAAAAAATCTCCCAAAATCGATATTGTTTGTAACACTATCTTTGTTGATTACTATAGGAAAAGTGAAAATACACTTTTTTTAAATAATTTAATACTACTTAATTTTAAGTTACGAGTCCCGAGAGAAATCTTATTCCCGGTCTACATATTCTGCTATGATTACTATCACTTGATTTACTAATATATTTTTTATCTTTTCAGGCTGAACCATCACATAAGATGGATACTAAAAATAAACTAGGTAAGTAATTGTTTTTATCAATAAATATTATCCCCAAGTAATGACAATGACAACACCATAAAAGCACATTCAAATGGCATACAGAATATAGTAAATATGACAAATAGATAAATGGTCAAAATGATTCATAATAGGCTAAAATGATTAATAAAAGGATTCATAATTCTGTGGTAATTGGCAATATTTGCTTGTTGAATTCATTTTGAATATCTTCCACGGATCCCACGGAGAATATCTTCCCCTTTTTTTGTTGGAAACTCAAAAGCTTTTAATTACATAACAAGTACATTAGTTTCAGATGAAAACCACTCGATCCTTTACTAGCACTAGCATGTGTAAAAATCTACCCTGCTTTTTCGCCTTGCTAGTATAGGCAAGGGAGCTACTGGCATGCCAATTACTAGGAAATGTGTTTTATGCTGGCTAGTTACTGGCCCATGTCAGCAACTGGCATGCCAGCTACTTTCAAAATTTACTGGCATATGTGTACCCGGCTTTAGAGCGTGTTCACACATGCCAGTGGCACTTTCCACGCATGCGCCTTGCATTTCACAGATGCTGCTAGCAAGAAAAATCAAATTCTTTGTAATTAGCTAGCATGCCAGTTAACGTACACACTTGCCAGTTTGGGGACAGTAGTACTAGACTAGTACTTGCTAGGTACTGGTATGCCATTTCGGACATCTCCGGCTTATTTGTTAGATATTTAGCTTCCACTCGTTATTTCGTTGAAAATATATCTAAAAATTGTAGTGACAATTATTGAAATGTTTATTAGGTTATTTTCGTATGATATGGTTATATCAAACTGGTAAATGTATAGTATGCCAATTAAGTTAGATTTTTACTCGGCAGAACTGTATAGACGGGTTTGACAGTTGAAATGTGTAGTATGAGATAATACAGAAAGACTCATTTAGGGATTCATCCATTCTTTAGTGCAAATATGTTTAAATATTCGATCAAAACGCCCAACTCATAATTTTACTCATAATTTAAAAACTTGTTTAGAGATTTGACGTCAACAAACAACTTTTCAGAAAAAAGGTACCAAAATGCGATATGCTAAATTAAAATCGAATGATAAACAAAAAGTTAATAACTTTTTAATCATTTATTAAATTTGTTTAAATGTACCTAAACTTAAGGGACCTATCGTGTTTGAATGGTGTGCAAAAGATGGGCCAGATCGGTTGAATAGTTTTTGCGACAATTAGTTTGTTATAAGATTTTTTGAAAAAAAAGCTAATTTCAAGGCCGGTCCAGATAATTTACTCAACGTATCTCAATAATCCTGTGCCTATTTTCTTTGTTAAGACGTATATTAATAACCTATGGAAAAAATTACATGTATGTACACCAAATGATTTAATAATAAATAGCACTTTTTAAGCTTATAAACATTTACAATAATAAGTAGAAATTAAATCGCAAGAACTTCAAGATCGCGGCTAGAACTTCATTCGGCTAGCCCCACTTCTTTTACTCTATTCGGAACGAAAAGTAGGGTATTGATTGAAAGTATTACAGTAATAATAAAATAAATAAAATTGTACGTACGGTGGTTCCAGTTACCTCAATTAACAGGGGTAACTGGCGCAGCCAGCCTAAAATCTCATAAGAGCTGGTAAAAATCATTGTGGGCTGTCTGTCATTACACTTTTCAAAGAAACCTCATATAATAATTCATATTGAGCGAATTTGAAACTAGGCTCAATATAAAGGTACCGTCCTGTATAGCAGATAAGGTTTATGAACAAATTATACACAGTTTGCAGCTAACAAAAGCTTTACTAAATTGGAAAGTCGTTGATGATCTTTACGATAGCAATCATTACCCTATATTTATATCCACTGGTATCTCCGACTCTAAACAAACTGTATCCAGAAGTTAATGTCAACCCAAAAATGCTGACTGGCTAAGCTACACTACTAAAACAGATACCACCTTACCTTTTCTCACACTATCCAACAATATTGACTACAATTTATCATTAGTCACAAACACGATACTCTCAGCTGCCAATTTAGCATATTGGTAAAAATTATATTTCACACAAATATAAAAGGGTTCCTTGGTGGAATAATTATTGCAAAATATCCGTAGAACAACATAAGTGGCACTTAGAGATTATCGGAAAAATAAAACACCAGAAAATCTCACAGAATTAAAAAAAGCTAGAGCAAAGACGCGGTTTATTATAAAACAAAGTAAAAAATCGTCATGGAGAAACTACGTATCTTCTATCAATGAAAATACCAATCCTACTAATCTTTGGAAAAAAAATACGACAAATTTAAGGAACCAATACAAATACTAAAATATCTAGTCTAATTTTAAATGATAATGTAATTAGTGGACAATCAAGAAATTGGTGAGACCCTAGCCATCACTTCGACAAATAATTTAAAAGCAAAATAAATTGCTCTCAAATCGAGCCAATAGTCGATGCCCCCTTCCCAAGTTCTTCGGCAACTGTCAAATATATCGATTACTTAATTTCCCAATTCTCTTACATAGAACTTACTTCGGTTATTAAAACTCTTAAGAACACTGCTTCGTCCCGACGATATTCCTTACATTTTTATAAAAAAAAAATCTAGTTTAGGTCACCTTAAACTTCTTGAAATGTTTAACTTAATATGGTCATCTAGCAAGTTTCCTAATCAGTGGCAAACCTCAATTGTAATACCCATTGAAAGCCTAACATATCACGCCATTACCCAGTGCTTATCGACCAATATCTCTAACATGTACCATCTACAAAATCCTTGAAAAAATGATCAACAAACGTCTTACGTGTTTTTTTAACAAATATAATATAATTCCAAAAGAACAGTCAGGGTTTCGACGAAATCGCTCTACTCAAGACAATCTTGTACTTCTCCAAAGCCATATTTCCGATGCCTTCAACAGGAGACAAGAAGTGATTGCAGCAGTGTTTGATATTGAAGGTGCATTTGATACAATTAGCAGGCAATCTATACTGAAGAATCTTTCTCATTATAACATTAGGGATAACATATTTAATTTTATACAAAATTTCTTAACATTTAGAGTTTCTGTCAATGGAATTTTTCATCACTTCACCTCAAACTGACGGCGTACCACAAGGTTCAATATTAAGCCCTACTCTTTTTAACCTAGCAATAAGCGACTTGTGCTCTAATATCCCCTATTAGGATGTCCTATACGCAGATAAGTGATAATTTACTGCCACGGACGATCTATCTCTACAACTTTCAAGCTTATTCAATCCGCAGTACATACACTAGTTAAAAAAACAAGCTCCCAGGCCTGTCTTTATCATATACAAAATCAAAAAATAATAAAATTCAGTTGACTATCACCCTTCCTATCCCCTAATATTATGATTGAGAGAGCGAGTCTTCCAGTAGTCAGGGAATGCAAAATTCTCGGTGTAACGTTTGATTCACGACTCACCTGGAAGCAACATATACTAGAAATAAAAGGTGAAGCAAACGAGAGGCTTAACATTATCAAAACTCTTTCAAACCATCATTGGGGCGCAGATGAGAACTTCCTGCTTAAGATATATAGGTCTATCATCCGTTCCAAACTGGATTATGGTTGTTACATATATATCTCTGCCTCTAAAACACACATTAACCTTTTAAATTAGATACATCACACAGCCTTACGAATTTGTTTAGGAGCCTTTCGATCTAGCCCCGTAGAACGTCTATATTGCGAAGCCAATGAGCACCCACTTTGGATTAGACGTGAATAATTATTACTTTCCTATACTGCCTCCGTTTCATCCAATACCTCCAATCCAGTTTATCCCCTTCTTACTTCATCAACTAACAACCGGCATTACTATTCTAAATCACCATCAATAAAACCCATTGTTTTTATAAAACTATAAAAATAAAACCCACTAATTTTAACACAATTAAAATCATGAATTTGTTGCTTGTGTGAGTCCATTTCAAATAGGTAAAGAAATAATAAATCAGACTTACTCACAATCAATTTAATTTAACTATCCGACGACCGGTTTCGCTTTCTACAATATGCAAAGCATCTTCAGGTCTCGGTACAAAGTTAAACAAATGCTGAAATGATAAAAACCCATATTAGGGTGTTGTCTAATAAAGATAAACAAATTAGATGTTATAAATTACAATAATTATGCCAATATTACCTGTCTTGGTTTTATTTAAATGATTGAGTTGATAAAAGGTATAAATATTTTTTAAAAAGTTAAAAGGACAAGGTAAGGCCCACAAATTGTCATAAAATCTCTTCTATTGGAATAAATTAATGAATGAGCAATAAATAAATGAAATAAATAAAATAAAATTACTTACATGCCGGTACTCTATTAATAGATGGATGGTAGAACATGTTTGAAACTACTGTATATTGTTGAATGGAGAACTCAATACTATTATTGCAGTTGTTTGACAGTAAACGGGAAGTTCTTGAGGAGGTAGATTTGATCCAATGAATTTGAGATGTGTGTGAGATTGTTTGTTAAATGTAAGTGGTGTAATATATTATTGTGTTATTGAAAGTTATTTATACTTATTCCAGAGATATATTTTTGAAATGTGTGTTATTTATTGAGTAATTGTTTTATGAAGGTGACATTTATGACAATGAATAAGTGTAGATGTAAAATTGTCGTGTGTGTGCAATTATTTCCAAACTTGTAGTTATCAAATTACTTTGATAAAGTTCTCCATTCAACAATATACAGTAGTTTTCAAACATGTTCTACCATCCATCTATTAATAGAGTACCGGCATGTAAGTAATTTTAATTTTATTTATTTCATTTATTTATTTGCTCATTCATTAATTTATTCCAATAGAAGAGATTTTATGACAATTTGTGGGCCTTACCTTGTCCTTTTAACTTTTTTAAAAATATTTATACCTTTTTCAACTCAATCATTTAAATAAAACCACAGACAGGTAATATTGGCATAATTATTGTAATTTATAACATCTAATTTGTTTATCTTTATTAGACAACACCCTAATATGGGTTTTTATCATTTCAGCATTTGTTTAACTTTGTACCGAGACCTGAAGATGCTTTGCATATTGTAGAAAGCGAAACCGGTCGTCGGATAGTTAAATTAAATTGATTGTGAGTAAGTCTGATTTATTATTTCTTTACCTATTTTACACAATTACTTAATAACATCTCTCTATCACAAACAATCCCACGACCCTACCTCCATAATATCCTTTTTGGTCTTTAATCATGCCTCAGTTTAACACGTCGCTTACAAGATTCGATAAACAAATAAATACGACATAGTACTCTATACTGATGGATACAGGAGTAGGCTGTTCTGTTACTACGTCAGATAACCTTATCACATCATCTTGTATCTCCTCGTTTTGTATCGTTCATACTGGCGAACTATTTAGCATATTTCAAGCTTTCAAATTCATTTCTTCACCAAATAAACAAGTTGCAATATGCACAGACTCACTAGCCTCAATACAATCCATCCAAAATATATTCACTGATCATCCTATTGTCCAAAAGATCCTTGATTGTTACCAACTAATCGCTTCCCAAAAAATAACAGTTATATTAATCTGGCTACCGTCCCATATTGGTATTATAGGCAACGAACTTGCAGACAGCCATGCAAACTTGCCTCAACATCATCTGATAATATGGTTAATATACAAATTAGTAAAGATTGAAAGTCTCACATTAAGAAACGAGCAAGAACCCGATGGCAACAACACTGGGACACCAATAACTCAGCATTACATCAAATCCAACAGTTAGTCGATAGCCCCCCTTGATTTGATCTCTGCCGGTATGTCAGACGAGACGCTATTGTTAACAGAAGACTTCGAATAGGAACATACAAGAATTAACACATGGATACCTGATGTCATCCAGCAACCGACCACACTTGTGAAACCTGTCAATCACATCTAACAGTTAACCATATTCTCAACGAATATCATCAATATTAAGCAAAAAGACTATTTTATTGCTTTAAAAGTGATCTAAAAGACATACTCAATAACTTTGATTGAATAACCTCAAGTCTAAAATTCCTCAGAGACGTTCAGTATTATAAAATATAATTTTGATTGTATTATAAAAAATTTGAATTAAATTCTACAGAGTTATTGTAAATGTTAATGAGCTATCATTTTGTGTGCATCGGAACGAAAAAATTATTATTTTTTACTGATTTAATTGGCCTGTAGGAAATTGAACGATGATTAATTTTTTCTATAAGGAACGCGTAAAATCCTCAATTCCACAAAAAAAAAATAATAGCATCATAAAGTGCGGAAAATAAAAGATTGCGAGAGTTCTCAACAACAAAAACGGACGTTTATGTCAATTTACAACAAAAAGTGAGTAAAAATAACACAATCCAATCGATAAGCTAATGATAAGAGGGCAGACCTAATTAAATTGGATTGTAACGTTGTCGAAATGTGCGAAAAATCCTGATATAGAATCTTTAAGTAGCGTAGGCTAATAAAAAATGTAACGATAAAAGAAAACTCGATAAACTGCTTCTCACAGTAAAATGGTCACAATTTTCACAGAGCGTATAATGGATATCACTCAGTCAACTAGAGGCAGTAGGATGATTGGAAAACGTTCAATAAAAAATAAAACGTAGGTAACCATGAAAAGGCATCTTTTTTAATTGTTTAAGTTGCTTAAAGGACAGATTGATAAATAATATTATTAGAAATATGCATGAGTAAGTTCATCTTTTACATCCAGTATACATCATCCATACACATTACAACAAATATGGGAATAATTTTTGTAGTTTGGATTGTAAGGATGCGAGAATTAAAGAATATACATCGACGTTGCCAAACTTGTCGTTAAATCTCGGTAAAATATATAACTTGTTTAAAACCTTAAAAGTAAAAAATTAATATGACATACTTTTCTATTATCAACTACATGGTGGTATATTAGGTGTCCACTACCTGGTGTTCAATTCCGCCAGAGTTATTTGCGCTCTAATAGCATTATTATTTATACTTAAATAATAAATGTTGAATGGGTGATAACACTAATAACTCATCAACTCCTTACTTGGAGTGCTCAAACTCAAAAGTGATTTATTTGAGCCAACATGTGGAAGCTTCCAACGTTGAGGTAAATAATGATCCATCTACAACACTTGGTTTTTCTCAATTCTCTTAAAACTTCACATACCTATCGTAAGTCATTTATGTGGTCATTCCAAAGAGTGTCATTATCTACTTTGACTTTGTTAACTTGTGCGAATAAAACTTGCTAAGAATAACTATATAAAATTAATTATAATTTTACACGCCTTCATTTAAATATATTTAGTGTCGTAGATTTGATTTTTGATATTGACCTTAATACAAAATTAAAATCGATGGAATTAAATTAGGCAATATAAATATGAACTTTGGCAACATTGCTTTCGGTAGGTAAGAAAAGAATGCACAACAGCCATTCCTTGGAATACTCTCGATTTAAAATCGAATAAATAACCTACAAATCATCCCCAACAACATGCAATATGGCAACATAAAACATAAAATATTTTTAATGTTGTTTAATAATCTGTTGCATTTAATATTTGAAGTAGAATTGCATCTAATCAATTTAATAAAAAAACAAGGAAAAACGAATTGACCTTGATTTCTCTGATTGTCAGATATTATGACAGTGACAAATAGTTCGGTGACGTTTTACTGCCGTTTTGAACGCCCAGTACAGCACATGTTTTTATCGTTATGTAGTTTCGTGTAAAGAATGTTAAAATAAGTGAAATTTATACATTCCCATCAAATTCAAGTATGTAACTATCCATAAACTATACACTTTTAAAAATCCAATAATTTTTGTTTTGTATTTATTCATTTGATTGAGTGTTGTTTAGTTGTCAACTTCTTTTTATTTAGATTGTATACATATTGATAAGGGTATAATATGCTATAAAAACGAGTAATTTACACTAGTTTAAATATTCTATGAGGATTTTCTCAATTCAAACATAATCATATTCTCAAAAATTAATTAAAAGTGAGGTATCAAGTAATATACTCAAAAGTCAATTGATGATCTCAAAAAAAGTTTATTAGGTTAGATTTTAACATTAACTAAATTCATTTTTTGTAGATGCTGTTTCCAATGAGGCATTAACTAGTCCAAAAAAGACTGATGAAAATTCTGATACCAATAGTGAAGATCAACATTCAGAAAACATCAAATTTTTTGATGTGCAGAATGAAACTTTTGAAAATGGAGAGTTCAAAAGTCTAGAAAACATAGTAGAAGAACAAAATCAAACTACTGACTCTGGTAGACATTCACTAGATTTTGATTTACAAATAGGTGAACCTGTTCATATTAAGGTATCAACATATCCAAAACCTTTATTATGGAATGAATATACAAGTTTAGAAGTAAACAAAGAGAATTCAGTAGAGGATCCTTCAACCCTTCATATAAATAACAAAAATAGTGAGCTTGATGACTCATTTGAAATTCTAAATCCAGTGAAGTCTGATTCATCTGAAGACTCAAGTCAATCATCCACTGACTCAAATAGAGCAAGTATAGATTCACAATCATCAGATGATAACACAAATGCAGGACATCAAAATTTAAATAATAGTGATAATCTCGTAAAATTCGAAAATATTGCTAGTCTTGCAAGTGAAGATTCTTCTAGTGCAGGGGATACTGATTGTGCCAATAAATATAAAAATCTCCTTTCTCTATTGAATGAATATAGACAATCCACTGATTCAACTAGAAAGGTACTAACTAACTTGGTAAGTCCAGGAAAGAAATTACCATATGACAACTTAGATATAGAATTACAAAATCAAGCTGACAGTGATATTAACATCAATTATAAAAATCAGCTTCATCTAAATGGAAATGGGCTGTCTACTGAATCAAGTGGACCTAATAATAAAATAGATGTTGAATTTCATGATGAAACTGAAAGTGATGTTACTGTAAAGTACAATTATCTCCTTTCTCTATTAAATATAGATTCAGCTTATTTTTCTTCAGATTACATTGACATTGTTGTAATATACAAGCAACTTATTTCATTATTAAACCTAAATGAAACACTTCACTGTTCAGCTGGTACTGATTATTCCACAAGATACAAAAATCTCCTTTCCCTAGTGAACGAACATAGATGTGCTACTGAGTCACTTATAACAAGTACCATAAAGAAATCTACAGGTGACAACATAGATGCCGAATATCTGAACTCAAACGATATAAAAAGCTCTCCAAATGGTTTTGCGGAAACTAATAAGATAGTTAAAAATATAAAAGAAAAAGACATTGTTTTAAGCGAAGAAGTGATTAAAGCAGAAATTGGTGAAGATATTAATATTGGTCAAGCTACTGAAAAAAATAAAAGGATAAAAGTCAGTGTTTTTTCAGGAAAAATCCAAGCTGTCGAATATCTGAGCTCAAGTGATATAGAAAGCTCTTCAAATGAAAGCTCTTCAAATGAAAGCGAAGAAGTGAGTAAAGAAGAAATTAGTGAAGATATTGATATTGTTCAAAATACTGAAAAAAATAAAAGGATAACAAGTTCAGAGGTGAAAACCTAGGTGCCGAATATCTGAGCTCAAGTGATATAGAAAGCTCTTCAAATAAAAGCGAAGAAGTGATTAAAGCGGAAATTGGCGAAGATATTAATATTGTTCAAACTACTGAAAAAAATAAAAGGATAAAAGTCAGTGGTTTCACAGGTGCCAACCTAGATGCCGAATATCCGGACTCAGATGATATAGAAATTTCTCCAAATAGGAATGAAGTTCAAGGAGAGACTAGTGTATTTGAAAAACCAAGTGAAACTGTAAATGAAAATAACTGTTTATCCAAAGACTTATCTCAAAAAGAACCTAGTGATATCTTAAATAAATGTGTCAAGTTAGATAATATTCTTATTAAGGATAGAAGTGCAATTGAAGGTGATACCACTAGGACAGAAATTATTTCTGTAAAAAGTGAAGAAGGTAGTGAACCTGTTGAAGGTAATAGTCTCAAAGTTCCTGAAATTTCTGGGGCGAAGTTTTTAGAAATATCTGTTCATAATAGTTCTAATGAACTTGATAAAACTACTTCATGTCTAGAAGATGATGTGTGTCTTAACAACTCAACTTTATCACCAAATAACTCATCTGATGCTCCTGAAGAGTTAATAAATGGCATTCCTGCTGTGCCAGTAAAAACAGATAGTGATAATCTTGATGGAACATTTGTAGCAGATAGCAATTGCAGTACCTCAAGTGAGGCTCTTAATTGTACAAAAAACAGTAGGCAGAGTTCCCCAGTAAAAGGTGACACTGAAATCTTAAATAAATCTTTCAGTGTTGATACAAATTCAAATTTACCCAATAATATCTCCTCTGATGCTGTTAAAGACTTGATAAACAGTAATACAGAGATAATTGGATCAACCAGTGAATCTAAAGAAAAGTCTGTTGAGCCAGACAGAAATTATAATTTCAAGGTAAGTTTTTCATTATACAACTACAACAATCTATCTATGAAAAAATCAGTGATTTCATGTAAAAAACTTATACAGATATTTGAAAGTTCTAAAAGTTATGTAAGTGATGAAAAAGCAGTAGTAAAGATGTGCAGCTGATTGTGCTTTATCTGTTTTTTAAACAATCTTAAAAAGTGAAAAAATATTTTTTGTCTATAAAAACGTTTCTTATACATTTTAGAGAAAAATGGTTGAAATAAAAGGTTATTTATTTATTTTCAATGGGCTGCTGCCCAATAAGATTAATAATATTGTTCTGAAGCTATTTTCTTGTCGCATTTTAAAGTAATTACTATTTAAATAGAAATAAGCCACAATTAAAGGTTAAAATATCTTTATTGACGTTTCAATTTCCACTTTGGAAATCATTCTCAAAATACAAACATTAGTAAATTAAACAAATTTTTTTTGTTACATAGTGAAAAATTCTTCTAACAATTTAATCTTGTCTGACTCATTTATATTGACAATTCAGACATACATTATACATTTTAAAGTAAACATGTTTTAAAATGATACCCAATATAGTTGAGTTGAGCTCCTAGGATGACTTTATAAGATAGTTCATTCAATTACATGAAATCAACTTTAACTTGAGAATATCTGTCAGAAAAAATCATAGCATGTAATTCGTCTTTAAAAAGACAAACACATGCCATAATGACAGTAAAATTCTCCTGTTAGTGATTATAACTATACTACCTAACCTATATTTTAACAGGTTTTTACCCAGATATTTAGTGGCTCAAAACATGTACACCTAGACACTGATGATGGAATATTGATTCAAAAAACATTTTGTCTTTATAGTATAGCCCAATTGGGTTTTTTAATTATATACATTTTATAAAAGGATTTTAATAAATTTTTTGTGATACATGGTTATAGCCAGCTACAGGAACTTAGTTTCGTTGTGTAATTTATAAATTTAATAACTTTGTGTTTTGCATAATGAGAAGTAATATAACTGATCAAAATTGTGACAATTGATGAGTTATTAAAGTGTGCTAAATTTCAAACAGATCTACCAAACAGAATATAAGTTATTCAATTTGTTTTTCCTGAAGAGCAATTATTTAAACAACTGTACGTGCCCAAACAGTCACTTCAGAGGTATTTTGTAACATATAATTGATTTTGTAAGGCTTTGTTGTTAGGGTTTATCAAAAAAACTTCTATATTTTAGTAATTTGTTATTAAGAAACAGTTTGAAAAGATGCTGATTTTGTATCTTATAAACATTTATAATATCTTTGACATCTTTTATGTTACATACTTGTAAGTAGCTCAATGAAAAGCTGGAGGTTCATTACTTTCTTAAAATCACATTTCCATTGTTTATTAACATTTAGAGCTTAAAATTAAACAGATTCTAAATGATGATCTAAGTTTTATGATCCAACTTATAAACCACATATACAGTAAAGAATTAAAAAGTAATCCATTAAAGTGGTGGTACTTGAAAAGTACTACCACAGAAAAGTGCAGGGGTAAACTGTCCTTTGCAATATCTAGGTTTGTTTATTGGTCATAGAAGGCTTGGTTTGCTTATTGGAAAGTGTGTTTTTTTCATCAGCTTTTCATTGATCCTACTTACAAGCATGTGTCATAAAAGTGTCAAGTTATTAATATGTTCATCATCAGTTTGGCTTTACAACCCTGTGTGGGCCTCCCCAAGAATTTTTTTCCAGTCGTCCCTATCCATCGCCTTCCTCTGCCAAGCACATATTTCCATATTTCTCATATATTGGTCTATGTTATCTAGAAATCTTGTTCTGGGTCTTCCTCTTCTTCTTTAACCAATAGGTCTATCAAGGAGCATTTTTCTAGCTGGGTCGGCTTGCTCCATCCGCATTACATCGCCTACCCACCTCAGATGTCCTATCTTAATGTGTATTAATATGTTTATTACCTAAAAAGTCAGCCTTTTTTCAAACTACTTTTTAGTAACAACTTTAATAAAAGGTTGAAATTTTTGCAACTTTTTGAACTTTTGAAATCAGTTGCGATTTACAAAATACCTCTAGAGTGACTGGGCAAGTTTAGTTGTTTAAATAATTGCTCTCCGGGATAAACAAATTGAATAACTGATAAAATATTTGGTCAGTCTGTTTGAAATTTAGCATATGTTAATAACTTATTGACTGCCACAATTTTGAGTAGGTATGTTACATTTCATTAAGCAAAAACAAGGTTATTAACATTTATAAATTACTGTAAAAATAAGGGCTTTTGTATATGCAGTGGGATCTTGTACTATCAGTTAATTGTTGGCTTATTTTAATTTGAAAACAAAGATTTTTTATGATCTACAACTTTTGTTTGAACCATTTTTCTCTAAAATGCATAAGAAACATTTTATAGGCAAAAAATATATTTTTTTTATCTTTTAAGACTGTTTAAAAAAAGACAAAGCAAAATCAGCTGTTTTTCTTCACATATTTTTCATCAGCTATACCTTACATAACTTTCAGAACCTTCAAATATGTGTATGATTTTTCAGCATTTTTTCTTCCTTGAAGAAAACTTTGAAAACAAAGATTTTTTTATGATCTACAGCTTTTATTTTAACCATTTTTTTCTAAAATGCATAAGAAACATTTTATAGGCAAATTTTTATTTTTAAGATTGTTTAAAAAAAGACAAAGCAAAATCAGCTGTTTTTCTTCACAGATTTTTCATCAGCTATCCCTTACATAACTTTCAGAACCTTCAAATATGTGTATGATTTTTTCAGCATTTTTTCTTCCTTGCCTGGGATAAACATACTCTATTTACATGTTTTAAGAAACCTGTTAACACAATTTACATTTGTTAATGGCCTGTTTGTCTTTTTTTTTATAGAGTAAAACCATATCACAGTTTTCTACATTAATTTAATTGATGTAATTTTCAATTATCAGCTAATTGATATTTTTAGATTCTCGCTATTTTCCCCTAGACTTTGTCCTAAATTCATCTTTTATTTAATTTTTTTTACTGCATTCATCTAACTTGCATCTTGTCTAGATACCATACTTGCGAAGAAAAGTTTTTTTTAGTTGTTAGTCTTTTCCCTTTTTCAGTGCATTCTTTACCCCTTCAGTTGATACTTTCTTTAGTCCTATTTTTGTATCCTGTTTGTCCTTCTCTTTTTTGTGTTTTCTTAGTAGATATACTCTTTTGGTGAGTATTTTCTCATTTATTAATATTAATTATTAAAATTGTTTTCAAGTTGTTTTATTATTGTAGTATCATAATTTACTACATAATTTTTTATACAATCATGTTCTCAAATAGTTTTTCCTCATACTGGTGCCACTCTGGAGACTGTAAGCTTGCTGTTTCTTCTTCATATTTATCACTAGAGTTTCTTTCAAAGTTCATCAATAAAATGTGATAAACACTGTTCTTTTTCTTATCTATTAGTAGAAGTCCATTTAATATTTATCTATAGAACTTAATGAATACTTTTTTCTTTTTGGTCTGTTGTCAATTGACATGATCAGGAGGAAATTTTAAAACTGCCACATATCCATATTCTATCCACATCTTATGCCACTTGGGCATATATATGCCACTCTGCTTTTTTCTTCATATTTATTTTCAGACTTCTCTCTCTCTCTCTGATATTTTCCAATGACTTACATGATAACCAGAAGATTCTTCAACTATGGCACCTCTCATGAACTCAAATGATGTCATGCGGGATTCTCTACTTTCTTGTTCTTTACATTTATCACTAGAGATCTCTCGTTGTGTGGAAACCAGAGCTCTGCTGATTTCTTACATGATCTTCAGAAAATGTTTAAAAGGTTGTACCTTCAATGAGCACCTTGACATCACCTACAGTACTGGATTTGCTTCTTCATATTTATCATCAAAGGCTCCTTCAATGTTGCTGCTGACTTCTTGCTCTATATCCAGAATATTCACAATCCAATCTCTTTGTCCCACCTCAAATCAACACATTTGCTACCAGGTATTCTGGGCTTTCGTCTTAATTTTTATCAGCATAGGTTCCTCTTTGGATTTGAATTTAAGTTTTGCTGATTTATTATACAATCACATTTTCAAAGCTCATCACTTCAAGTGACACTTTGGCATCATCCCGGGTACTGATTTTCTTCTTTCATGTATACTGTTATATTAGAGACTCCTTAAATGCCTACCAATACAACTTGCTCAATTAACTAATGTCTTTATCTCAAACCTGAGCTCTGAATCTCTTAAGGCGTCTTAAAGTGCTGTCTCCTATGCAGATGTGGATGTCGTCTGGAATTCTGGGCGTGCTTCTTATGTGTATTACCAGAGGCTCCTTCAATGTTCATGTAGAGAAAAGTTTTGTCAACGAAACTATATGATTTTTAATTTCGTGAGTCAATTTTTTTATGGTTTTGGTGTTTAGGAATTTTTATATTGCTAAATATATCTGTAGGCAGTTTGCTTGATAGTAGTGGATTAGACAGATGTATTTTTGGGCAATAAAGAAATATTGACATAAAATTTGCATTAATAATTGATATCGATTTAATTTCTGTTGATTTTTTTCAATTGTTTTTCCAGATGACTGACATGGTAGATAAATTAAATCAACAACAAGCTGAAATTTCAGACCTAAAGCTAAAACTTAACGCAGCTCAGCAGCATAATGCTTCTCTGGAATTACAGATTAGACAGAATGAAGAGATAGTGATTAAAACACAAGCTGAGGCATTAAGAACTGAGCAAAATTATCAACAGGAAGTAAAACAACTTAAGCAAAAACTAAATGAAAATTCTAAAATTATAGAGAAAGATAGAATTAAGGAATTAGAGGAGCAGCTAAAGGATGCTAAAGCTAAAGAAGCTAAACTCACTGTTGAAATTTCACAGAAAACCAAGGAAGATTTAAATTTTCAGTAAGTGAAAGAAATAATCAAAAAATATTGAATTATTGTATTAATATTTAATTTTTTAGAAAAATAATGGATCAATATGAACTTACTTTAAAATCTCGTATTTCTGAAACTAAAAGATTACAAGAAGAAAGTGAAACTACAAGGACACATTTAACAAATTTGGAAATAGCTTTTTCTGACGTGCATTCGTAAGTTAATTATTCCTTTAATTATATTTTTGTGTTAAATACATTTATATTAATTTCAGCAAATATGAAAAGACTAAAGCCGCCCTCCAAAGAGTCAAGGCAAATGAGGAAGCACTCCTCGCAGACTTAGAGCTGGCTCAGTCAACAAATATACAGCATGAAGAACGTTATGAATCTCTAAAGGCGCATGCCAGGACTCAAATTGAAAAGTAAGCATAGTTTTTTTAATAAATATGTAGGCAATAGCAGCTATCACAGTAATTGTTTGATATCCGTAGAGAAAGGGCATATATCAGCCTAACCTCTGTAAATAGCTAACGATAATTGTTAAAAATCTATTTAAAGTTAATAAAGATAGTTAAAAGTAAGTAAAATAGTAGTTAAAAGATAGAAGTAACAAGGGAAAAACACGCATAGGAAGCTGAAATGTTTTCTGAAAGCAGAGAAAGTGTTATCTCAGAAGAAAAAATGAAAATAGAGGGCAACACACATTTAAAAAAAAATAAGAAAAAAACGTCCGGGAGCATGGCATTTAGCAAACTTACAAAAAAAATGTACACAATTGTATCAACACATTCAAAAAACATCAAAACAAATTTAAAACATTAGGTTCACATTTCTCCCAAAACCTAATAAATCAATCCTGTCCAAAATCACAAAAAAATGTCAACATTCAAAGCCATCAAAAAACATGTAATTAACAACACACACCTATTCATTACAAATGAAAAACATGAATCAAATCAATAATTATTATTAGTACAATTTGCTAATTTTTGGAATACAAGAAATCCAAGCTCCTCTGTGGTGTGATAATAAAAACTGAGTTGTTTTATTTTAAAAAGCAATCAAGATAAGAATCACATTAAAACAGCTGAAATCATTAGTCCAGTCAAAAATGGCTACAGTAACAAATTCTAACAAAATCAATCACCACCAAATAAATCACACAACACAATTTCTGCCTGTCATATTATCGGTAGAATTTGATATTGAAAATACACATATAAAAGACCACTTTATAAAACAGGATAAACCACAGATACTGGAAAAGAATTACATCAAGAAAAACAGGGACACTTACACCTCTGATTAGAATAATTACTCATCATTTCAAAAACCATCAAGTGAAGAAGTGTTCTTTAAAAACTACCACTATCCTGTTTACCACAGCTATCCACCTTAACCTTGTCCTATCCCATGTTCCAAATATTTATTATATGGCTGTTATATGGCTATTATAAGCTGTAGGAAATGTTAACAAAAACATTTAACACTAACAAACATGCACCTCTCCTCTTCCAGGGAAGCATAGCATGTTTTTCATGCAATGCAAGACCACCAAGCATAGCTACCTAAATGTCTACCAAGCATACCTGACTGGTCTATAATCAACAAAAGGAAATATATTAAACAAAAAAAACATTGAAAATGGATAAACAAAACCCATTAATGAATTAACAACCCCTCAATAACTGGATCCATGTTTCACTCCCCCTTCAAGAGTCTAAATTACATATCTTCGTTGTCTAGATTCACAATTCTTCCTTAATCAAAGAAATGATCTCCACTAAAGCATCTCCATATGATTATTCAATAAACATTGGCGATTTTAATCCAAAATCAAGTCCCTCATGTATAAATCAAATCAAATGTTTCCTTCAAAATTCCATAAATGAAATCTGTGGTATCTGTGAAATGTTATCTGGTGCTATTAAGACTGAATTGCGTGTGCTATTATTTCATTGCTATGTGTTATTTAATCAATGCTAGTATAGTATTGACTAATGAAATTTTGTTTAATCCATATTAATAAAATTAATCGCCGAAATGTTTGTATGGGCATCGCTTCAGAACGACTGCACCAAATTAGATAATTCTTTTTTTGTTGTGTTTGATATTGTCAGAAGAAAGTTTTTGTAAAAAAGTTCATTTTTCTTCTTTTTTGTAAAAAAAGTAAACAAAAAAAAAGTGTACAAAAGTTTTTGTAAAAAAGTTAAGAACTTCTGAATATGGTGCATGACAAAATCGAATGACAAGACACGTTTATGAGGGATTCAATAAACCAAGAGTGAAGCTTGAGATTATGTTGAATATTTTAGCTACAGGGAACAGCTATCGAAGACTTTCTCATTTTTTTAGAGTTTCAAGACCTGCAATTTCAAAGTTGGTCCCGAGGTGTGTGATGCCATCCCGGCAGCTTGCCTCATACTTTTATTTCTGTAGTGTACACTACCTAAATTCCATAAACATTGGTATCGCCATATATCTCTACAAGTTTTAAAGTTTCATCTTCAGTGAACTTAATTTTCACTATTTATACAAAACACAACTCCAGCCGGAATGACAGCATCCCTATGCACTCTCCTACCTACTCTACTCTACCAAAATTGACTGCGTTCCATGGGTAGAGTGCGCAGACTGGTGGATATTTTGGCGGTGGTGGTGGTAGTAGAGTAGAATTACTTTGCCACATGTTGCTAGTCACTCTACTCTACCACATACTATGCACTTTACTTGCTACTCTACTGCGCTGAGCGTTTTTTACGAATAGCTCTACTCTACCAAGTACTTGCATCATTACTCTACCCGTGTAAACGGGTCTTAAGGATCAGATCGTAGTAGCTCTAGCGTTGGCTTTAAACGGCATAAAAATTAATGAAACATCAGATTGCAATATCGCCAAAAATAGAGTAATGGCGAAGATTTTACAGGTATGCAAATTAATTATTTGGGATGAATATACAACAGAGGTCATTACAGCGACTGGAAAGATATTCGTTATATCAAAATCATTTTTGGTGGAGCGATAATTGTATTTTCAGACTGTTCCTTATTTAATAATTATTCCCCAATTAACTACTGCGGACGAACTAAACGCATGCCCAACATCATCCAATTTGTGGCGGTTTGCAACAAGGTCAAAGTGCAATTGTGTTTTCACAGGAGATTTCTGTTACTTAACAGACTCGAAACATGAGCTTATTGAACTTATTATGATACATTATATAATTTTAAGGTCAAATGATTATTGTGTATTTTAAGATTAACAATTATTTCTTTTTCTACAGGTCAAATAAAGAAATTCATGATGTTAAAGAACAACATGACATCGAAATTAACAAATTAAGAGCATTCATCAGACGATTGGAAATAAAGGTTAGTTCTCTAGAAATATCACTCCAACAGAAGACAGAAGAATGTGAACAGCTTTCAGCACTTTGCGACGAAGTCACTGGCAAAAATGTGTAACAAAATCCATGTAAAGATTAATCTGTTTTACTTAACTATAATAACCTAGTCACAGCTGATGATTTTCAACTACTCCGGACATATGTTGAATTTTCTGTTGTATGATATATCTATATGGAAAATAATTATCAATTGCATAATACAAGTGTAAAATATTAGTGACTGGCATCACATCAAGTGCAATTAACTTGTTTTTTGTGAGTTCGATACACTATCTTTTCTAAAGCCATACATTAAACAGGATTTTTTTTATTAGGGTTAAAGTAACATTCATATTTTATGGTAAATAGGTTATGTCACTGCAAACCTTGAAGTATCTACAGCTATGCTGCTTGTAATCAACGAAGGCAATAACTATTAAGAACAATTTGTCTGCCTTAAAGTTGTTGTTTGTTACAACTCAAAATGATTACACTCTTAATTGGTTTTAGTAAAATTAAAAATAGGAATTTGAATTCAAATCACTGCTAGATATAGAAAATATTTCATCGATATGTATTGTTAGATTACTCGATCATTTGTCTTCCATAACCCTGCAATTTGATCTTTGGTTGTGACGACTCTATTCAATATTTCTTGAAAATTTATTTAACTTGCTCTTCAAATCTGCGTGTCTACTCTTTCTGATATATTTTTTTACATAACATTACTGTCTATTTGCGTAACCTTCATTGTGCTTTGCGCATATTTGTATATATTGTAAGATACTTCAGAGGGTTGTAAAATAATCAGTGAGAAGTTTAGTACCTTTCGATTGAGAAGTATGGTACGATAGCGGCGTATTCAAGACTTTTTCAGCGATATAAAAACTTAATACTAAATGCTATCCCCAAAATTATTCTCAAATCACTATTTTTCATTATTTAAATTTTTTTTTTTTTTTAATTTTAAGCATTTATCCCTGAAGCATGCTCTATTGGAATACATTAGTCATCGTATTTTACCATTTCCTATATACTACAGTTATTTTTTGTTATAATTTGTGTTGTAAAAATACACTGGCAAGTAAAAAGGTTTCATGTAGGTATTCTCTCGCTATGTGAGGTCATCTTGCACAAGCCCGAGAATAAACAAGGCTATCATTAGCGCACATTCCTCAGTTTGGCAGAAGACATTTATGACCGATATCTGCTGCATGTGTATACGAAACGCCAAGAATAAATAATTCCAGACCACAGACCATAAACCCGGAAAACAATATACAGTCCCTGGCCATATTATTATGACCACCTATGATTTTTTACAAAAATCGGCTTCTTCACAACTTTTTGTTTAGAAATTTATTTTGAAATTCAATTTTTTTATGTAAAATGCTTAAATAATAATATATTTAATAATAGACAGCAATAAAACATTTGAGAAGATTACATATTTATATAATTTTTAATATTTTGTTGTACCCCCTTTGTTTTGATTACCGCTTATACCCGTCTTGGCATACTTTCAATGCAGCTAAAGGCACTTTGCTTCACTTTTTCGTTGTGGTTCCAATGATATATTAGTTTTTCAATTAAAACGATTATGTTTATAACTTTTTTATTGGAAATTTAAGAAGTTCCCAAACATTTTCTATGGGATTAAGGTCAGGAGAAATTCCCGGCCAGTCCAAGAGAGGAATACCATTCTCAACCAGGAATTTTTTCACTGATTTTGCAGTATGACATGGTGCTCCATCTTGCTTAAATATGCATTCTTGATTGGGAAACCATTCATGTACTTGAGGTATCAGTCTATTCTGTAATATTGATATGTATTGATCTTGTCGCATTATTCCCTTAACTATTTGAAGTCTACCAAGTCCCTTACCGCTAATGGTAGACCACACCATTATTTTTGTTGGATGTTTTATAGTTTTAATAACACATTCAGTTAAATACTTTTCTTCTGGTCTTCGTTTAATATATTGAGCTTTATTGGTTAATATTTCAAAAGTACTTTCGTCACTGAAACAAACCTGTCAAAAATGAAAAATTTTAGTTTAATCATGTTTTACAAACTATAAAAATGCCAAACCTTTTTCCACTGTTCTACAGTAAAGTTCTCGTATTTCTTTGCCCAAGCTAGTCTTTTTTTCTTTATATTTTCTGTAAGAAGAGGCTTTTTAGCTGGACGTAGGCTTTTGAACCTCAACTCCATTAATTTCCTCCACTAATAATCTCCACGCGCCCCACGTGGTGTAATAACTTGTTTTCTGCCACATTTACCTTTACGTTTCGGTGTTAAGGTCACTCTGCAATATCATTCTGCAATATTTGCCACAGATGTCTTGGAAACTTGGATTTTGGAAGCAATTTGGTGTTGGGAAAGATTTCCATGCATTAAAAGTGCTTTAATGTCACCAATTTTTTTTTAGGTGACGGATCTTTTTTTCCCATGTCTAAAACAAGGAAAAGTTGAAACCCCATTTTAAAAACAACTATTTTAACAAAAAAAAACCTCAAATTTAAAAATAATAGAGTATTAAGTTTTAATAATAATATTCAGAAAACTAACAATTGGTAAAAAAGGTCCTTTTAAACGCTGCTTGCGGTCCAGAGTAAACGTAGCTCAATTGAAAATGCGCGGTCTTTGCCTCTTTCACTACCCTTATTCCTTGATTAGAGAAATGTTTACACTCTTATAATATATTGGATGAATAAGGTACTTGAAATGTTAACATTCATATTAAACCATAATTAAACTCAGTTCGGCATATATTTATGCTAAAATAAAAATCCCTAATATAAATTTATTGAATTGGATGGGTGGTCATAATAATATGGCCAGGGACTGTAATAGATTAATGTTGCTACAGGGATAAGTGTTTTATTCTTAGCTTCACGAAATTTTTCATTCAAGAAATGTTAAATAGATGTTAAACTATGATTCATTATTTTACGAGTTTGTTCAGATTTGATGTTATTCTTGTATTCGAGTGTGTTATATTGGCACTTTTTGGAAGCTATGAGGTTTGAATTGTTAATTTGTAGATTGACTCATAGATGATGTCCCAAATGAACTAATATCTTGTATTCACTGAAGTATGTTTACCTGTTTTTCCATATAAAAATCCTACACGCAGTATTCAATATACTTTTAATTTTATTAATATGTTACAAACTTTCTTAAGTTCAGTATTAATGTTTTAACAGAGCTTTAAATAGCTTTAACTTAACCACACTAAGGCGGTTGTATTTAATATTTTACTATAACAAAATGGATCTAGTTTGGCAACTTTCTGCTTATTTTTTTATATTAGGCTTTTAAATATTAGTAATATCTTTAGTAATTTATTTATAAAAATATATAAAAAGCTTTACAACTCAGGCTACTTGGCAAAAGTTAGCTCTGAAATTGTGTTTTGTATTTTCTATGTATTGATGTATTGATAGCTCGCAGATAAAGGAGACATTTTGATACAGTAATTTGTAGTCAATACTTATGAAGATCTTTTAAAAATTGAACATAAAATTTTTTTAATGACTTTTATTAGAAGACTGCCAATTACTAAATAATATTACACCAGCTGTAAGTCCTATATTTATCAAATGAAAATGACAATTTATATAATATGCGGACCATACAAATACAAGCTAAAATGCTATGCTTTTAAGAAAGTATATCTAGTGCTATGTAATGATAAAACAGATTATTTACCATGTTGAGCAGAAAGTTCTCGAATAGGTTCATTTCTTTAATATGGTGTAAAAAAGCTCTCTGTTGATAAAAGGAGAATTTTGTGGTCAGCTTGCGGCTATTGACCAATGTTTTTAGTATATTAAAGAGAAAGATATTTTTCACTTCATTTTTGTCCTAATTCCTATTTGTAGAATATTTACTCTTCCTATTGCATTCTCATATAGTTCTAATTTTAAATTTTAGTGATACTAGAGTCCCTATATAACCATTAACATTAACTTTTGTCTGATAATAGTTATATATGATATCTAGAAGAGGCTTTATTAATATAGTGTTGGGATTATGTGTCAGATAAAGCACTGCGTTAATACATATATACATAAAAAATAGGTTAACTTAAATAGGCAGAACATTAGTTTAAAAAGTTATTCATACGGAATTGTAAATTTAACTTATTTAAAAATTAACTATTTTCAGAACAGAATGGAGCATGCTTGCTACATACTTTTGAGTTTTAAAAACATGTATATTTCTATGACTTTTTCATTTTTGTTATTAAAATTATTTTAGTAATGTTTGTAGTTTTAGTTCACGCAGATTATACGCAAAATATTTTAAAATCTACTAAAAAATTGGTTTTCATAAATATAAAAAAGAATATGAAGTGTATATACCTAGTTGGAAGGACATAATCCTTACCTTACAATCGGAGGTATGTAACTACATAAAATTAGGAAAGTAGAAGTACAGGTCACTGATTAATGTAAAGCATATCGGCGCCAAGTGTTTTAGCATACGCCCAACTTGAGGAACGACCACGTTACCATAGGTGAGTATTACATAAAGATTACGAAAGGAAACAAAATAAACGATAGAACCTCTGGAAGAAGTAAACAAATCAGGATAAAAAAAGTTTGAACATCGCATCCTGTTAAAAATTATTTTCCAGGTAATCTATGGGAAATTAAGAATGTCGAGACACTGAGAAGGTAATAAAATCAGTAGTTATGTATGACTGTAAACAAAGATGATTATTTTTCCAATTATCTATTTTTACTAAGCTGAATGAACACGATCACACTAACTATAATCTAACAAAATGTTAATTACTTTTTCCTTTTAATAAAAATAACTAAATGTAGATATATTTAACGCATTGCTTTATAACAAATAGTTTAATTTTGCAAGTGCATCAAGTTCTTATGGGGAAAATTCTGAATGAAGCGTATAAATGCAAAAACAGACATTTGACCTAAAGTTGTTTTGAGTAAATCGCAAAAAACCCACCAAAATCTTAAATTGACACCAATGAACATCCGTACCCTCAGGATGATTTTCTGCGTGTTTAGTAGTTAAAAGGTTTGTGAAGAAATATGACGTTCATCAGCCGCTCAATTAACCCCATAGTGTTTCGTTAACAAAGTTGATTTGCTTTTTATTTTATCTGGTTTTAAACGTCTCCCTACACTCAATGGTTGTAACTGGATTTGAGTAATATTCTTTCCTTTCTTGGAGATGTTCTTGGACTTAGAAAGCACATGTTTATAAAACGGTTCGCCTGTGACATAAACACACCCTTTCTTGATTTTTTGAAAATAATCGTTTAGATGGTTGAAAACGAAAATGCCAGGATCCAGGACTTTTAAGAACTTTTTGCACCTCACCTTTCCAGTTAAAAACTGTGTAATCTTCTCCCATCTTCAGCACTGTAGAATAATCTTTAATAAAATTAATATAAGTTTCTGGATCAATTATGGTGGCACATTTTTTAACTTTTCTTTCTATTTGAGCAAATACTCCATCAGGGGGAAGGAAAGCATGACCACTACGGGATATATGAGTGCTATACATTTTATGTGAAGTGGAGCACAGCGTTTTGCCAGTATTGAACCATTGTGATATTCTTTCGCACTTTCTCTACCCCTTCATCAAAATTAAAGTTTGTCAATGTGTAATTAACATCGGAAACAATATCATTTGAACTCCTGGTGCTTATTCTCTGTCCATATAAACGATTTTCCTAATTCAGAAGTGGGGACTTATTTCGAATTACAACTCTAAAATTGTACAAATTTATTTGCATACTAAAATAGCAGGCCTGGTCTGGAATATTTGGTAGTGATAGATTCTTTTGGCAATCAAAGGAAAATATTGCTACTGTGCGATTGTCTTCTCTTAATAACCACAAAAAACGTTTTACTATTTTTCCTTGTGGGTTTGTGATTTTTTTCATTTTTTGAAAAAGATCACAAGAAATTGGAGACATTGTGAACATACATCAACTTTTGGTGATTCAAAACCAATCTTGTATTATCGTACAAATATATATCTGGAGAAGCACTGTCTTACTTTTAGATGTTCTTAAGTTGTAGAATTATATATCTTCCACAATTTCGATATATTTAGTTCACAAGGCAAATATCGTCTAATAACTGTTTTATTTCTGGCATAATGAGTTTCACAGCAAGTAATAGATTCAATGAAATGTCTTATAGCTTTCTTTTTAACAAATTGATTTTTGTGAAGTTCTGTCCCCTCCTCATCTTTCTGCTGGAAAAACTCCTGTTTTATGAAACTTCTTTAATATCCTTTCAATTCGGTTTTTTCCAATACCCAGTATCGCTACGAATGTTTTTTTACAAACAGGAATTAATCCTTTTGAAGTGTTGATGGTGTACTTCACAATGACCGTTTTTGGTTTATTTAGAATGTTTTCTTTAATTTTCGTACTAGGTCTTTTTGGATTATTTGTCACGCCGTGCTTCAATACAAACATGTCTTGAGAGAATTTGGATGGTTTGCTAAAGCTTTCGTTGAATTTTCGCTCATTGTCAACGAGGAATATTGATGAACTTTAGTGTTATGATCGCACCTGGGAAATTTAGAAATGCATCGTCGAGAATAACTAAAAAACTAAAATGATATAATCCGATCAGTTTTTAAACAAAAACTTCGAACACCATATGTCACACTCCATGTAGAGACGTCTCAAGGTTGCAATACATCTATATTGGCATATACAAGGTTATAAAAATAAGCTCTTTTCCTAACTTACCGTATTGAAATCGAATAATGTTCCAAAATCTGATTTGTTTTGGAGTTGTTTGGAAGCTTGACAAATATATAGACAATCCCATCATAGACATTCCTTAAACTTATAGTTGGACACATCTGCCAAGCTCATCTGAGAAATCAAATAGATTATATTATATAATAGATTATATTAACATCAACAGAAGAAATCGTTGTTATAGAAATTCTATAACATCATTCAAAACTTATATAGGAGCAAATATATCCTATCACAATTTGGTTGTTTCCAACAAAGTCATTTGGATTGGTTTATTAATATTATCTACCACAAAGCATAATTTGTGGCTTACGAATTAATAGCTATGAGATAAGTTACAAATTTAATAAAACACTATTAAATATCATTATTATAAAAATCTTTATACTTACTTTCAATATATCATCCAGTTTCAGTATTTGAAACTTTTCTATATCCAAGTCTTTCTATTTCCTACTTTGCAGCATTAAGCCCAGTATTATCAGCCACCATGTCACACTCCATGTAGAGATACCTCAGGATTGCCCTACTGACTGTAATAATATTGTCATATACAAGGTTATAAAAATAACCTTTTTTCCTAACATACAATATTGAGATCAAATAATGTTCCAAAATCTGATTTGTTTTGGAGTTGTTTGGAAGCTTGACAAATATCATATAGACAATCCCATCATAGACATTCCTTAAATTTATAGTTGGATACATCTGCCAAATAGTTATTAACATCTAATTTCTATTTTCAACTTTGCAGCATTTTCTGATCAAAATAAGCCCAGTATTATCAGCCACCATATGTCACACTCCATGTAGAGGTACCTCAGGATTGCCCCGCTGACTGTAATAATATTGTCATATACAAGGTTATAAAAATAACCTTTTTTCCTAACATACAATATTGAGATCAAATAATGTTCCAAAATCTGATTTGTTTTGAAGTTGTTTGGAAGCTTGACAAATATCATATAGACAATCCCATCATAGACATTCCTTAAACTTATAGTTGGACACATCTGCCAAGATTATCTGAGAAATCAAATAGATTATATTAACATCAACAGAAGAAATCGTTGTTATAAAAATTCTATAACATTATTCTATACCGTTATTCCATAACGTTTTTTTGCTATATCGAGTTTCCAGTGATCCTTATTTACCAATGGTTTTCGCCCTTACCAGCTGGATTTAGTTCAATAATAATGTTATTCATGTTTACAATTTTTAATTATTGTTTATTTTCATGAGAACTTATTCATAACGTATGTTTACCACGTTTGGTCTTAATGCGAGTACAAAGTACGAACGAAATAAGAGTTTAAGTGTACACCTACATTGGAACCGTATTTCTCCCGATCCGATATCGGGCGACGTCGGATTAAAAACAAACTCAAGGTATTAACTCAGAGTGCCTATACTGCTTCGTCATGGAAGCAGTATAGGCACTATGATTTAATACCATGAGTTTGTTTTCAATCCGACGTCGCCCGATATCGGATCGGGAGAAATACGGTTCCAATGTAGGTGTACACTAATAAAAAAAAACAGCGCAAACACGACAGCACGTGACTAAGAAGTCGCATCCGGATTGGTTTAAAGGCAAACGTCTGCCTTTGCACGTAACAAGTGTACACAAATGTCTGCTTTTGCATCTAAGGCTAAATTTCAACTGTGAATAATGCGATTCATATCCTTATGTTATGAACATAAGGCTCAGAAAAACGGATTCCTATCAATGTTTACATATGGAATCCATATATAACTTATTTATTTAAAAAAATGTCAAATGTCTGGTCTTGCTTTTATTCATTCAAATATACAATATTTCTTCAGAAATCAAGGGGTTTGATGATACTAAATTACATTAGAAATTTAGTATAAGTGAAGGAAATGTGAAACGAATGTTTTAAGAATGTGACAACCTTAATGTATAAAACAACGAAATTTATAGAGGTTGGCATATTTAGCATGAATCTCCCGTGAATGAATCTAAATTTTTGTGCAGCAACCCAGCCATGACACGTTTTGCTGTGTGGGGCTCATACATACAGTTGTCACTATTATCTATCCAATAAGATAGATGGCACGTACGTAGACTGAGTTCAAAATCTCGTGAACCTGACACACTCATTTAGCGACGTCAATCTTTGAACGAAACGATGAAATCGGACATTACTGTAAATATTTAATTCTCATATTAGTTACTTTTTCAGTCCACGATATTCTGTGGATTCTCCTGTAGCACCACATCTAAAAGGAGTTTAATTTTGTGATTTCAGACTGTTTTATTGTCCACGCTTCCAAGCCGTATAGTGAAGTAGAAAAAAACGTAACAACGTAGCATTCTTGTGTGAATCTCTAGATTATCGTTTACGGTTGCAAAGTAAGTTCTTCAATTTTACGAACGTGTTTCTTGCCATTTCTATTCTAGATCTGATTTCTTTTATTTGATCGCCATCTTCGTTTAGCCACGTTCCTAAATATTTATATGTTGTTACTCTTTCGATCGTTATATCAGGTTATCTACATTTTATGTTTTTTTGCGAATATCATTGATTTCGTTTTCTTGAGATTCCAGGACGGATTACAGTCCGTACCTTTCACATGCATTGTATACATGCTGTATTATTTATTGTAGATCTTCCATGTCACTTGCAAATATGACCGTATGGTAGGCATATATAATTATTAATGCTATTTCCGTTGACCAAAATACCTTCCACAATATCCAATAAAGCTTCTTGAAATATCACTTCACTGTAGACCTTGAATAAGAGTGGTGAAAGTATGCACCCTTGTCGAACTCCTCTAAATATACTTACTTCCTCTGTCAGTTCTCGTTCGTCCTATGTACTATTTTTGCCATTCCGGATACTTTATATTGAATTCAGTACGAAATTAAAATAGATAATGTTTTTAGGACTCATTTTTTTGAGCATGCGTATTTCCAAGGTTCTTGAGGTTTTGAAATATGTCTACTCGGCTCCAATCAATAGTAGGCGATATGAGTGCTTAAGTTTCTGCGTTGGCAGGAAGAGATCGACTATCTTAGTTATGATTCAGTCCGGGGATAAGCAAGCGCATATAGTCTATATCTTAATTTTTTCAAAATAAAATCCTATTTATCAAAAGTTATTTTAGGTGTGGAATTAAACCATGTAGATTTTCCCATTCTCCATACCCATTACTATACTAATTAAAGAACCAAATGCAATATTTATTAACTATGTAAGTGTACAATAA